ACTTTCTACCTAGTTTTTTTNTTTTTTTTTTTTTTTTTTGCAGCCTCCCGGAAAAAAAAAGGGGGGGGGGGAAAGTAAAAAGAAGGAACAAAACACTGGAGGCCGTTGGCAGACTCTTTTTATTATTATTATTTTATTTTGTTTTTATTTTCCATATACGTATAGGTACACACCTTTGGAAATATACATAACTATATTCGAAACCATACATATAAGCAAATGACATATGGGGAAAGCTGGTGCAGCGGTCCCTTTACCTGATCCGTGGCAAGAACATGTTACCATTTATATGTATTGCGTATATATATTTTTTTGTTTCTATGTTTTTTTTTTGAAATTTGTTTGCTACCAGTTCTTTGTACGTTTTTGCAGTCTCTCCATCTTCTCCGTGTTTTTTTTTTTTTGCTTTCTATTTGCGCAAATCCGGTAGGTTGCACGCCTCTGTTCTGCTGTTCGTTCCGTGCGTTTGCAAATGTCCGAGAAGGCAAATACCACGCATGAGAATGCTGAAACCGCGGCGGCGTGTGTTCAACGAATCTCCATGTTACTTAAGCAAGTCGAGGATGCAGGCCTGCACTATAACTCCGCAGATCCCATGACCGCAGATGCAGTAGAACATGTTCTCATCACGGATAAATGGTGCTGCAAGACGTGTGGCATGACCAACTTGCGCACATGCCCTGAGAGAGGCAAACCCCATCGACGGCAGCTGGTGCGGGTGGCGCAGGACGTCCTGCGGCTCATTGGTTCCAAAACGGGACAAATTGTTGTGCGCCCGCCAAAGTTATCGGCGAGTATGAATGGAAGATCACGCCTTCGTAGCCTGCGCCGTGTCACCATGAATCCACAGGCGCTTCTTCTTGCGTACTACTACGCGGTGCTTCCTAGCAACGAAGTAGACCCGCTTGTCTCGGAGTGCGCCCAACAATTAGTGGAGTTGTTAGAGCAGTTAAAGTTGAATGGGGCGCAGCCTCATGTTGATGAGCAATACGCCATCGCTCTTCTCTCTTCTACATCGCTTATGTGGGAGGAGTACAGCAAAAAATTTGCTGCAGATCTCTCTTCACTTAGGGGCGCTGACCGACGCGCGTACCAGGAGGTGATCGTGAATGGAACCAAGGAGGCCTATGTGGCGGCGACGCGCGAACTGCAAAAGGCTCCTTCCAATGAAGAGCTTCAGGCCTTTGTGGGGTTGCTACATGATCGCTTGTCACGTCTGACGCCACAGGAGGATCTGAACGAGATGAAGGCTACCATACTGGAAAAAAGGCGGGAACTAGAAGATTCTAAAGAAGAAAAAGGACATAAAATGAGCGAGGAGGAGGAGTCGAAGGAACATGCGGAAATGAGTAACAATGCCGCCTCTGCCAAAATGCCACTCACTACGGCAACTTTGCTCTCTGATGCGAACACAAGTGGATCTGAAGCAGAGGCGGCCCAGCCTGTTATGATGGGGCCAGAGATACCGCCAGACTGGTATGTGGACGAACACGGCCGTTCCCGACCGCTGCACCCAGACTCTGTTCGTAGACGACGTGAAAAGTATGTTAAATTTGAATTTCGTGCCGTAAAGGCATACGAAACAATCATTACTGTACCCGAGACGAAAGGGGACTCAGTAAAAGAGCAACTGGTTTTATTCATGAACGAGGCACAGTTGGCGATGCTTGCGGAACAATGTAATTGCCATCCTCCTGATCTTCGAAGCGTCCCTCGGTTTTTGAAGCTTGTTATTGACGGACTTTTAAACGCTCTTCCACGACGTCTTCGCTCCCAGGCGGAACAGGAGGTACGGGATGTGCTGGATTGGAGGATTGTGCGTCGTTCCGTAATGGGTAGTCCAGGAAATATTGCGGCGCTTATGCGCTACGTGATGAGGAAGGTCACGGAATACGGTGCTCCTGCCAAGGCGGAAGAGACGCTTAAACTTGCGGAGGATATGAGCAAAGATCTTGAGGCATGCACTCCAGACCTTGGTACAGCAGTGGCCAACGCGTTCCGTCTCATGCTTTCTTCTATACGCCAGTTACATGAGGATATTGCGCAATACTCACTCTTGGTTATATCCCAACAACTGCGAGACAACGCTGTTCCGTATATACGAGAATTTATTGCCGAATGCTTGCCAAAAGTGGATCAGTGGGAGAGTTCCCTGGCTTTTGTGCGGCGCTACTTCGAGGATGAACGTGTAAAGGCTTGGACGAATTCGCCCATTGCCGTTTCAGCGACTGCGTTAACATTGGAGGAAAGACAGCTTCGAGGATGCTTGCGGTACGGCTTTTTGGACCTGTTGCGGAGCAGTGGCATTCAAGGGAATGATCGGTGGCATGACTACCCAACTGAATCTTTTTACTTTGAAAAGAAGGTTATTTTTTATGCCACAAACGCGGTACAGGAGAACAGTTTGCTGCTGCTTTTATCAGGAAGTATAGCAACGGTGCTGCGTGGCAAAGGGGTGGACTCAAGGATCGTCAACGATATTTTGAAACAACTACACGACAAGTTTCGACTTCTCCTTCTTGACGAGCTGACTCTGCCACATTTGAAGACCTCCGTGACGAGTTTGGTCGACGAGGCGTTGGCGCAAAGAAAGACACTCGTGGCCTTGACGGAGAACGAAATAACTCAACTGCACGGTACTGTTGAAACGATGACAAACACGACTGGAAGCCTTTACGTGGTATTTGAGAAGCGAATTCTTTCCTTTATCGAGGCCATTCTGGTGCAAGGCCAAACTGATCCGCCCCCATTGGGTCTCGTAACGGATTCGCTGCGTCGCTTGGCAGCCCTACTGCAGCATGTGCTTGTCTTCAATTGGGAAGTTTATCAGCCATTCTATAAGGAGATGCTTTTGCTCCTCGCACAAGAGGAGGCCCCTGTTAGCACGTGAGGGAATGTAGATACTGAAGTACGTGATATTCCACTATTATTTGACGCCCTCTGCGTTCTTCTACTTTTTTTTTTTCTCGGTATTGATGACTTTGTTTTTTAGTTTTTCTTTTTTGCTTGCCTTACTATTATTATTGCTGTTATTGTTATTTATCAGGTTGGCTTATCATGCAATATGACACTGTGCTTTTGTCGGTTTCTTTGTGCTCGTGTGTGAGTCTCTGTCAATTTTCCATTTTTTCCCCCTTTTTTATTAAAAAAAATAATAATCTTTATTCTTGAAACCTTTCTGATATTGAGTCTTTGTTTGGCTTTTAGAGGGATTGAGGCCCCCCCCCCACAAAACAAGATGTACCCACGCCAGGACGATGTAAGTCTTCTGCAGCGTTACATCAATGACGCCAAGCTGGAGGAGAAGGGTGTCCCAATGACTGATTTGCGGCGACTAGAGGGCACGGATCAGGTGATGCTGGGCGTTGATGGCACGAAAGTCATTGACCTTATTACCCAAGCCGTGCGGGAGAAGGAAAAGATGGCCATCTACACCTACACAACCCCGTTTACGGTCTACGACAAAATTACGGATGTCTGCAATACCTTCCATTCCATCAAAAACTGCACTCCCGTGTTGGTGTTTAATGGCATTCCGTTTTATCCGGATTTGTCGGATGAAAATTGCCGTGACAAAAATATGGTGCCTCCTGAAATAGCCGTGCTTAGCGGCACAGACAGTTCCAGGCTGTGTAATATGAACTCGATGCGGGCGTTGGACATGCAGAAGAAGTCAGCGGCACGTTTTTTTGTAGAGGAGGATGTGGAAAATCAAATTGTCAAGCTTTTCCGATCCGAGTTTAAGGACACCATGCGAGCGCCTTACCTTGCTTGGGCGCAACTGTCCGCCTTCTGCCACCCCAAGAACCATCACGTGTCGGAAGTGTACGGTTGCCTTGAGCTCCTTGCCTTTCCAGGGATTGATCGGGTCATCACAAACATAAATGTGATGAAGGGTACATTTGATGTGGTGCGTAAGTCTCGGCTCTTAGAATCGTTGCGGATAAGTGAAGATGACTTGGGAAGTCTGATTATGGTTGACAGCCGAAATCGGATAATGAGGACTGTTGCGCCGAAGTTTTCAAGTTTTGATGATATGTGCAAGAAAATTACACGTCTCAATGATTTATCTCTCGGTGCCTCTTACGCCCAACAGATTTATCAAGAAACGATGCATCAGTCTGAGCAAAATCGCAGTCGTTCTGCAAATATGAGGAGTTCCGCGCTTCGCAATCTTGCTGCTCTGGCGTGCCCAGTACTAACCCTGGTTTCTCCTTACTGCACTTTGTTAACTCTGTTATATGAATCGCGTCGGCAATTACCGCTTGATCTTAAGATGGTCATGGGATGCCCTCTTCCACCCGTTATGTACTACATGTTTACAGCGGGCCTTTTGTCACCCAGCCTTTTTGCTGCATTATGTCAGGGGAGTTTAGTGGATGACTGGCCACTTGTGGATTCTATTAAGTACCGTGATGTGGCTGAGACGGTTTTGCCACTTCGAGTTCAAACACTTCATCAACTCGCTTCCTCGCTGCGGCTGACTGATTTCGGCATGACCTGGTTTCGTCGTTACAACGTTTTGTCCTCCCGCATAAATAAGATCAACCTCCCTCCGGGAATTGGGTTGGATTCTTGGAATTTAACAGGTGTCACCATTTCCGAAAATCTTTTTCTGGTGGATGTGATGGATTTTGCGCACTTGGCAGTTTCATCTCGGCATATTGTTTACACAACGGTGGAGGAAACCTGTGCGGCTGTGCTGCTTCAATCCCTAGACCTCCTTGGCTACCTCACCCACGAGACCCACGATGACGGCATTGGCTCTCAGGTGAGTGAACCATCTTCGTTTGGTCGGGCGCTAAAGATGTGTTCCGTACCAACACTCAGCGAATACGTTGTGCTTCTTATTGAACTCGCACGTACGGGTTCTCTCACCACAGATTCGTTTCGAATGACATCAGAGGAAATACCTTCGCGGGATATTCCTCGTGAAGTTATTCTTGCCAGCCGCATTCTATCTATTATCCCACTAAATGTGTCATCCGCTTGGGCTGGTCCAATTGACCCTCAACTAGCAGCCTTCAGCATGATTTCACGTATGGTATCTCGATCGGTACGTCACCTTCTCGAGGCGATGTTGGCTATGATTTTTTATCAGGCGAGGACGCTAGTGCCATTGCATAGAATGTGTGCAATACAGCAAGGACTACCCTTTTCTACACCTGTAGAGTTCGGCGGTGGTGTCTTGGCTCAGTATATTTTAATGAAGGAAAATTGTTCGCTGAATGATGTTGAGAAGGCCTTCCCTGGGTGCAGCTTTCTACGACATGATCTCGTCACATTGTTTTACTTCTGGGATCTTGCGGTATGTGTGCTGAGCTCCATCTCATGCCGAGATCCCTTGATTGACATGGTTTACCTACAAAGGGCTAACGAGCGGATGAAGGATTTGCAAGGGCGGCTCAATGTTAACACAGGCATGAGGGAAGCGTACTAAGGTTTTTGGGCGCAAATGTGGTGCCCCCCTCCCCTTCCACCAATTTTTTTTTATTATTACCACACGCGTAGTACACGCCCTCCACATCTCTCCTGTGCAACGTGGCCTTTCTTTTTTTGCTTGTTTCTTTTTTATCTTCGTTATTGGCACGTGCGTGTGTCTACCTGCTGCTTTTGTTGTCACAGCTCACACTTGCATGGTAGACGATCTACGACGGGTATGCGTGTGAGATAGCAATTAGCTGAGGGAAAAGATCGAGATAACTGGGGCTACATGTGAGCGAGAGGCGGTAATGCAACAGAGTGTTTGCTTTTGTGTGTTTTTTCCTTTGTTTTTTCTTCCCTTCTTTCTTTCTGCCTGTGCGTGTTTTGGCTTTATCTTTTTTTACTACCTTCGTTTTCTTCACGGTTGTATTGCGTTGGGCGGGTTTTCGGGGGAAGTGAGCAGGCGACCGGGCCCACTTTCCGGCTGTAACAAAGAAGGGGGAAAAAAAAAGAAAAAAAAACAAAAAAACGGAAGGGAAGGCTGAGAAGCAAATTAAGCGAGCAGAGGCCAACAGCGCGGGTGAAAAACAGCACTAAGAAACCAGAGGGAAATCCAATACAAGAAGACAGAAAAAAGCATGAACGGAAAGAAAAGGGGAAGGAACGGATACGAGAGACAGCATGCCTGAAGTCGTGCAGCGGCTTTGATGCGGCGTTTGCTTTTTACCCCTATTTCTTTTTCTCTTTGCTTGCGGGACTACTCTTCTGTTACCATGTTTTTTTTTGTTTGTTTTGTTTGTTTTGTTTATTTTCTTTTTTTTGTTTTTGTCCCTTCCTCCATTTCCTCCCCGGACTGGGGTTGTTTGGCAGGGCGCTGTGTCTGGACCAGTTCGAGGGAGAGGGAGAGAAAGACGGTGGCATCGCCCCCTGCAAGGCGAGGCCGGCAAGTAGAGGGAGAAACATGGGCGCAACGGCAAAAAGGAAGGGGTAGCGTGTTTCTTTAATTTTGTGTTTGCGCGCGTGTGTGTGTTTTGAAGAAGCGAACAGGTGGTGCGGCATTTCTCTGTCTTCTTCACGGACTCACTCACTCCTCACACAAATACATGCATGCATATATTTGTGTAGGATGCCTTTGTGTGTTTGCGGGTACAGAAGCGACGATGGGAGGGCGCAGTGACGAGTGCGGAGATAAAAAGGCAGGAAGGGAAGGGCAACATATATATATATATATATAGAGAGAGAGAGAGAGCGGGAAAAAGCGTGTTTGTGGGCGTTTTTAGCGGAGCTGGAGATCTCACAAGCTCCACTTGTGTGTGTAAAATATTATTGTTATTACTACTACTACTACCACTGAACACAGGCAGGGGCGACGACAACATAAGTCCGGCAGCCACGAGAAGAAAGAAAGAAAAAAAAGCAGCAAGAAGCAGCAAGAAACACAAAAATGGAAAAAAAAGAAGACAGAAATAATAATTTTATAAGAGGGCGAAGAACAAGACGGAAATTTGAGGAAGATAAGTGAAACATGGGCAGAAGAGAAGAAAGGAAGCAAATAAATAAATAAAAAGGGCAATAATAACATCTTCGTTTTTTTTTTTGTGTTGTAATTCCTTTGCTTCATCTCCCCCCCACCGTCGCTTGTTCGGGTGGTGAGACGGTTAGTGGGCAAAAGGGCGTAGGAGAGAGGATCATTGAGAAAACAACGATAAAAGAAAAGCAACAAAGCCCCTATTTTTCTTCACTTGTGTATGACTGTATTCTCCTGGTGCCCCACTTTTTTTTAAAAAAAAACCAGCGGAAAAAAAAGGGGAAACAAAAAAAAACGAAGGGAAAAGATAAAAAAACATTTTGATGTTTCTTTTTTTTTTCGTTTGATATTTTGCCCTCTACGTCTATTGTGGGGTTATTATATATATTTGGGTATATAATTACACCGATTTCTTGTTTATATATATATATATATATAAACGGGACGCGTACGCAGCTATGAGGAGTTGAATTTGGCGACTGCGCCTTCCCCCGCATATACTGACTGCCACAACACCTGAGTTGCTAGCTGCGGGCCACTGCAGTTGACCTGTCACAGGTCTTCTTGGAAGAGACAGATGAGAGGGACAGAAAGACAGAAGAACGAGGAAGGAGGAAGGAGGGTACTGGAAAGGTCGCTTCTGTAGTAGTAGTTCTTGACTCTATTCTTTTATTTTTTTTTTGTTTCCTTTGATCCTTTTCTCCCCGTTTTTTTTGTTTATGCGTTTTTTTTTCCGTTCCCTGTGAACACTCTCAGCCACGTTGGCACTTCAGCGACAGGGCGCGTTTATTTTTTATTTTATTTTTTTTTTTTTTTATTATTATTGGAAGAACCCTCTTAGATGCAGGCCGATGCTCCAAGAGAAACTGAGTTGCGGCACAAGCGCGCGAAGGAGGGTGAGGGCTGCCATAACGGCGGGGATGAGGAGGTGGCGTCGGAAGAGGTATTCTCCGGGCCGACAAGCATGGCGAAGCTTTTTTTGAAGGTATCTCTGGACCCCTACGAGAATTATAAGTCCGTGTGGCCACGACCCGGCCCTGGTGTGAAGGACACGGTGCCGTACGCCGTGGTTGCCGACACCCTGGCCGATATTAGTGGCGAGAGCTCCCGACTGGAGTGTATTAAATACCTGACTAATCTTCTTCTTGCCGTGGTTCAACGTAGCCCAACCGACCTGGTTTCGGTTATTTACCTCATTATCAACAAACAGGGTCCCGCACACGAGGGTATTGAGCTTGGGGTGGGTGACGCACTGCTGGTGAAGGTTATCGCAGAGTGCTGCGGCCTCACCGAGGCACACGTCAAGGAGGCATATAGACAAACTGGTGATTTGGCGGAAGTGGCTCAAAACAAGAAGCGAAAGCAAGCCACTCTTGTTCAGCCTAGACGTCTTTCCGCAACAGCTGTCTTCAAGGCGTTACGTGACATCGCTCTTATGAGCGGAAAGGAGGCCGCTCGACGACGTGCCGATGTAATGAAGAAGCTTATCCGTGATGCTGTTGGACCTGAGGTAAATCTTATTGTTCGGGCCTTGCAGCAGAAGATGCGCGTTGGGTTGGCGGAATCTTCTGCGCTTGCAGCAATAGGTTATGCCTTTGCACTGAATCATATTGGAATAGACGCGGTAACGAAATATACACCGGAGGAGCTTCAACAAGAGTTGAATGTTGGGTCGGTTAATTTTGCACGCATATACCACGAGGTTCCATGTCTTGAAATCGTTGTTGGGGCAATGCTTCAGCATGGTTTTAACGTGATTGTTCCCTACTCCCCAGAGGCGGGGGCTCACGCTGCAGAGCTGTCTATTCGCCCTGGTATCCCCGTGAAGCCGCAACTGGCTCACCCCACAAGTGGGATCAGTGTTATTTTGGAGCGACTTCATGGCAGGGCGTTTACGTCAGAGTACAAATACGATGGTGAACGGGCACAAATTCACTATTCAAAAGAGAAGGGATATTGTGTATTTTCACGCAATTCCGAAGTACACACCGGAAAGTACCCAGACATCATCGCCATGCTCCCGCACATTTTTTCAACGGATACGGTGGAGTCTTTCATTATTGATTCAGAGGTGGTGGCGGTGGATGAAGCGACGGGAGCTCTGCAGGCCTTTCAGGTCCTCCAGCATCGCGGTCGAAAAAATGTGTCATCTGCGAGTGTCACAATTCCTGTATGCGTGTTTGCGTTTGATATTTTGTACTTCAATGGCGAACCACAGATGAAGAAGCCGCTACTGGAACGACGGAGGATATTATACTCTCACTTTATCCCTATTCACGCAAAGTTCCAATTTGCAGAGCATTTGGATAGCACAGATGAAGAGGATATTCAGTCGTTCCTCGACAAGTCCATCAAGGACGGCTGCGAGGGACTTATGATTAAAACGTTGGAGGAAGAGGCGACGTATACTCCCGCGAAGCGTTCTCACTACTGGCTAAAACTCAAGAAGGATTACATGGACGGCGTGACGGATACGGTGGATCTTGTGCCAATTGGAGCCTATTACGGAAAAGGAAAGCGGACAGGTGTATTCGGCGGATTTCTGCTTGCTTGCTACGATGGCGACAGTGACGAGTTTCAAAGTATCTGTAAGATTGGGACTGGGTTTCAGGACGAACAGCTGGAAAGCCTCACGCAAGCTCTTCAGTCATGCGTTCTCATGGAGCAACCACGGTATTACCGGGCTGAGGAAAAGCCGGATGTCTGGTTAGAGCCCTCACATGTATGGGAAGTGAAGGCTGCTGATCTTTCTATCTCTCCGGTTCACTACGCAGCATACGGACTTGTGGATTCGTCTAAAGGGATCGCACTGCGATTTCCGCGGTTCATGCGTGTGCGAGAGGACAAAAACGCAAATGCGGCTACCTCCGCTGCGCAGATTGCCCAAATGTACAATGCGCAGTCATTGTCTCTAAAAAAATTACAAGATTGAGGTGGAGGAAGAGAATATAGACAGGTAATATATATGGTGGGTAGATGAGATACATGAACGTTTACAAAGGGGGAGCCGGCACCACACCAAGTGGGGTGCGGTCTTATTATTATTATTATTATGCGTTGGTGCAATACGTTTTCATTTGGCTGTCCAGTTTCCTTTAATGGTATTGTTTTGTTTTACGTACTTTTCTTCTTCAGTTGGTACGGTGCGAGTGGAGGTGGGGGAAGAGGGAGCGATTCCGCATGGGAAGCTCATTGCGCCTCTTAGCTGATCATGTAGCATGTGATGAGAACCAGGAACAAGGTTTTTGGCGCTGGGTACGACGCAAGCGGGGGCGGTTGCCCGGTGTGGATGAGGACGGTAGTGTGACTACGATGGGGACACCTGAGAAAGAGGATGAAAAGGCAGAGGACCCCGATGCTCAAAGTTTGGTTCGGATGCAGGTGCTAGGAACTGACGGGGCTGCGTCCGTGTCGCTAGGCCGTTCTGTTTTGTGTGGTCCTTCTGTAGAGGACACGTATGGTTACCACTATCACGTGTATCCTTCCGCTTCTCCAGGTGATGCGCATGGCACGGCGTTGTGTTGGTCCTTGCGGAAGTCGTCGTTAAACACCCACGCCTTGATGTGCCTTGGGCGTGTGGCAAACAGCTGCCACAAGGACATGGTGTTGTTTGATGGTGATATTGGCATCATGCTGTCGTACACAACGACACCGTAAAGGCAGGGTAACGTTTGGGTGGAAAAGGGTAGAGCAAACGAGAAACAAAGAAAAAAAGGAGGGGCGTGTGGAGTGGATAGTGTGGCTAAAGTTGTTGTTGTTTTTGTTGCTGCTTTTTTTTTCTTTGTTGTTGTTGCTGGAGTTGTAGAGGTTAGCATTGGTCCTGCGGAGGGGACGGTGGGAAGAAGGAATTAATTAAGGAATGAATGTTTCTACAATTGAGGAGCTGGAGCGACGGCTGGATGAGCTTCAGAAGGTGAAGGTGTTTGACGAGAACGTGAGGGGCGGCGTGGATCGTCTGCTTGCGTCTACGCCAAATGTTGAAGAGGAGCGGGACCCCGACATGAAGGTCCGGCTGCTTTTTTTGAGGTGCAAGGCGCTCACGTTACTGCCAATTTTCTCCATGGAGGCAGAGCAGGGCTGTGGCGCAGCACTGAAGCTTCGCCACGATCGACCAGATCTGTGGGTGCTCCTCAGTGAGTGTCTTGCTCGCCGCAATGCGACACGAGAAGCATGTGATGCCTTGGACAACGCCCTGCGCTTAGATCCTCACAACGTGGAGGCCTTGTGCCAGTACAGTCGGCTTCTAAGAACTCTTTCCAGTGACCCCAAACTGACACCGGCAGAACGTCTACAACACTTGAATGACTCTGTGGCGCGTGGTAAGGCAGCAGCTGCTGCCTGTCCCACAAATACGGATGGTTGGCAGTGCTATTCGATTGCTTTGCTTTCGAAAGCTCTTTCAAACGGCGTTGACATTGCTGGGGCGCAACACGCCTTACAGGCTATGCGACAAGCTGCGCGGATTGCCCCAGAGGACCCCGATGTGCGGTTTAACAAGGGCGGCATTGAGGGTTTTTTGGGTCATTTTGGTAATGCAGCATGCGATTTTCTTGCAGCGTATGAAGTGGATCGAAAACGATTAAAGGGGACGAAGCAAGTGCTCGAGGATCATCTCAATATTCTTCGAAGGGCAGAATCGCGCATAAAGAGTGCACACCAGGCAGGGAAACGAAATTTTCTCTCTCTGCTTGCCAAAGTGCCCTCATCAACTGATGGTGTAACGATAAAGGAGGTTGTGGAGGGATCTGCCACGACGCCATGCCGCGTAACTGTTGGGACAGTGGATGTCCTGAGTGAGCTTGCAATGGAGCCTATGGTGGTTCTGGCAGCTGAAAAATCAGGTGAGTTTTTGTTACTTTTGTTTTACGGGTTAAAACGAGGGTCCATAAAGGGCAGTAACACCACTATTTCTTTGTTATTTCCGGGCAGTACTCCTGTTCGTGTCACGCACGAAGTTCCCGATATTCCTTTTTTGGAAACCAGTTCGCACGCAGCCACGCACACACAGGTCTTTGTTGATCTCAAAACCACGCTTGTTAATGGTGAGCCAGTTCCATCTCACATGCGTGTCTCTCCCAAACTCTCGTCGAGAATGTTTATGTAACTTTGTAAGGGTGATGCATCACGATATGGCTCCGCGAGAGTGAGAGGGTTGATTGTGTTTCTGTGCCTATGCATGGTTGTGTACTGTTTTTGCTGGGCGCAAGAGGATTGCAGCGTTGTTGTGTACTCTGCAGCAACCAGTCATGTGCTCTCTCCTTTTTTTTTTTGGTTATCCTGTCGGGTTGCTTTATATTTGTGATTTTTTTTGCGTCTTTAGTTGTTGTACTAATTGACCGGATCGCTGTGGGTGTAGTTTAATGGCGCGTCGCCTGCGGCTTCGATTTACAGCCAAAGACGGGTACGGTTGTGGACGCTGCAGTGCGTATCTTTGCGATAGCAGTGATGTCATTTCACGTGCCTTTCATGGCAAACGTGGCAAGGCGTACCTGGTGAGCCGGTGCTTTAACTACTACTTTGGTCCCCAGGAGGAAAAGGAGCTGATAACGGGTTCCCACATTGTGCGCGATGTCTTTTGCTCCTGCTGTGATCGGTATATCGGTTGGACATACGACTTTGCCTATGTAGAGAAGGAGCGGTACAAAGTCAATCGTTTTGTCTTGGAACGTCAACTTTTGCGCGCGATAAAGGCAGACGCAACAACAGGTTTGCCCGCCGCTGGTAACGCAAGCCAGTAGTAGTGAGTGGCCCACATATGTAATGCTCATTGACTTTGCTTTTCCAGTTGTGGAGTGCACTTTTTTTCTCAATTTCCCTAGTTTAGATGACTCCGATTTGGTTATAGTGGTAGTTGTGTTGGTGGTATACTTCTCAATTCAGTGCGTCGGGGAGAGGGGGGAGTTCGGTCGTGTGCAGCGCAACAGATACACAGGGATACTCTCCTGTGGGAGTTCTTGTATGGTTTGGGACAAAGCGTGTTTGCGTCCTCAACGCCACAGCGTGCCCACGATCTCTCACTCACTTATTATCCCCATTTTTTTTTTTTATTTTGCGAAGTGTGCGTCTTTGTTTTATTTTATACTCTTGCTGGTATTTATTTATTATGTGTTGGCGCTTGGTATTTTTATTGGACTTGCTTCCGTTTCCGTTTTTTTTGTCCTTTTTGTAAAGGCATTGAGGAAAGTACGAACACGGTTAGCATTGAAACATGCTGAGGGCGTCGCCGGGAAAATAGAAAAGCAGCAAAAGCCTGAAGGGCATTGTGGCTGGCAGTAGGTCTCGCATCACTGACTGCCCTTGTGGAGGCTCATTTGTTGACGTATTCACCCGAGTAAATATTTATGGTGGCACACGTGTTGCTGGTAGGGTTGAGCCATCCTTGCGGCACGGCCACACCATGCGCGAGTACCGCATACACGGCGTTCAATGAGTGTGCACTGGCCATAGGTATCCCTCAGGTGTACTTTGGAGGTAGAGTGGGGGAGCACAATAAGGTCGTGGTGGGTTTGCCGGATCCCAATCTCAGGCAAGTTTGAAATCTCTGTGGCCGAAAGCTTGGGGTAAAGACAGTGGGCATTCTACGAGTACAGTTTTTTCGGTGAATGCAGTTTATATACTGCGTGAATTGCGTTGCTTGAGACATTAAACTTGAAAATTTTGTTTTGGGTGTGGTGGAAAATTTGCAAATTGTGCACGCTATTGGCATGGACTGGACCACGCGTTACCGGGATCCCCGCACGATGCGGCATATTCCGTGGGATAACGACAAATCAATCACGGGTACGGTTTGCTACATCAGTATAAATGTTCATCAGGGCATTGCTCAGACACGCAGGGATGACTTGGACGCTGTCATGTATGTTTTGCGTTGATCTCCCATGGTAGGGAATGAGGCATCAGGCGAACGATCGCTGTTATGAGCGGATTTGTGACATAAAAGTTCAGATACTACCAGAGACACTTGCCGAGGGGTATTCAAAGCAGTTTGCAAGTCGTTTAGAATATACAGCTTCCTTAAGGCTTGAAGAGACTCCGAGGTACTCTGTTTGTGTGCAGCTGCTAAATGATCTGCTTACCGCACGCGGCGAGACCTTTGACCATCAGTATTCCTGGTTGGCGAACGTGGACCTACGGCTGACGGAGGAGACGAACGTTGGAGACGCAACGGAAGGCGGGGCTCTGGAGGAGCTTCCATCTTCCACCGCACGGCGTAGCCACCGGCCAGTATCGACAAATGCAACACAGCACCAGCGCATAACATTTAAAAGGTATGAGGGCGCATGGGTTGGTCTGATGGTGGGGGTGGGGCCGAAGCTTTACTGCGTAAGCTGCGCGGGACGTACATCATCACTTGCGCCAGTTAGTCTTTATTGGCACTGTACTTTGTCCTTTTTACTTACCTCAGATAAGAAAGAGAAAGGAACAAAACAGTGTCTCTACAAAAGATTGGAGCTACTGGCCCTCTTTGTGTTACTGTGTTTTCATATATATATATATACACACACACTTTTAATACTTTTTCTTTACATGTGTTGCTGGTTTTGATTTTTTTTGTTTGTTTGTGACGAAGGAATCCCGTGTCTCTTTTGCCCACACACTGCGTCTGGCATCACCGTTACACCTGCTGCTGGTTCTGTTGGTCCTTGCCCCGTCCCTTTACGCCCTCCTTCTCTTCCTTTTATTTTTGAGTTGTCCTCACTTTTGAAGTTTAGAGGGCTTTTTAAACATGACCGTCGCATGGAACCCCCAGCTAGTCGAAGAGCTGCTCTTCCGGCAGTACATCAAGGGCGAGGATGTTTCCATGCTACTTCCTCCACCACCAGCTTTGGAAGCCGACCAGTACATGGATAAGTACGAGCAGAGCACCAAGATTTTGTCTTCATACGTTCGGAATGGGCCTGCAGCGACCCTATCGTCTCAAAATGTCAATACTGCATCGAGGATTTACGGCGCCACACCTGTGAAAGGGCACACATCGCTCTCTCGGTTTGCCAACGCGCCTCCAGCCGCGGCAGTTCCGGCTGCGGATCCCAGAGCACAGGTGAACCGCACTCCCAACGGAAAGGAACTCTTCTCCGCGGTGGTGGACTCACCGATTCCGACTGCACCCAATGCATCGGCACGACAAGGAAAAGCCCCCTCACCTGCACAGGTGAGGAAAAATCGGGTGGAATGGCCTTCCTCCGTGCCCACCAACGCGTCTCTTAAGAGCTCAAGTCGATCAAAAGTGGCGCATTTGACGGCAAAGCGTGTGGCCGCTCAAGAAACAGTGGATCCGGATCTGATCTTCGCTCAGAACTCTGGAGAGCTTCCCTTACACGCCATATTTGCGAAATTTCCCAAGGCCCTTGATACCCTTGCAGCCATTCGTGGCGCAAGTGGGGACTGGCGGAACGACACTTTTACTACAGAAGAGGAAAATCAATACAAGCGTGAGTTGGGCTTTGTGCATGTGGGGCCCAGTCAGTGCACCTTCAGTGGATCGAATCTCTTACACAAGTAGGGATGAATATTCATGAGGTTTGTCTTGTTTTTCAATTTTGGTTTTTGTTCCACTTGTTTCTTTGAGGTGTTCCTCCTTAGATGCTTAGATACTGTTTTTAGTTTATGATATCTTGTCCTTGTTATATCACACGAATGCTTTTGATGATTCCTGTAGAGTGGGGTGATGTTTTTCTCCCAGTGAAATGACACGAACGCCTACAAATAAACTTTAAGCAAACGGGTAAAAATAATAATAATAACATATTTGAACATGACTGTTGAATCCCTATGTGCGTATTTGCGTTTTATTTATTCCCTTTTTGTATAGTATATATACATATATATAATAATAATAATAGTCGGGAGCTTTAAAAAAAAAAAAAGTATCTGATGGTGGAGTTTCAGCCGGGGACCCTGCTGTGGGTCAACTGCGATGACGGGGAGTGGTGGCCCGCAGTTGTGCGGAAGATGGACAACGATTCGCTCCTCGTGGTGGGTGAAGGGTACGACATATGTGTTGAGTTTTACCACGACCCCGGAAACCTTTATCCGGTGGACTTGGGAAACACCGGTGTTCGCGTGCTTCACAGAGCTGTGGATGAACGGGATGCGATGGAGGAGGGTTTTTTCCGTGTGCATGCAACACAAGAGGCCGTAAAAAGGGTCTTGCTAGATGATACTCACAGTGGTGGGGCACCAACGGAGGAGGAGCCCCCGCCGTACAGCCCGGAGGAGTTGCAGTGCATGTCTGCCCTTCTTAAATCGGTCAACCACGCAACTGCATCTCAGCTAAGGAAGACGCTTTTGGCGCAAGAGGGGATCGATTTATCCTCACGAAACATCAGACAACGGATAACTGAAAAGGATCGGAGGCGTCGCAAGCGGCCGGCGCGGCATTTGGAGGAAGCTGGACCGTCATCTTATGACGTCAAAGTGGTTCGTGAGGCCGATTCCAACCCTAGGCCTGCCGAAGCGGTGGCGGTGGCGGTGCCGCTGGTAAGTGATCCGGAGTGGACCTTTCAAGAAGCTTTTGATCCTGCTGCATTAGACATAGTACGAAAGGAGGTTTTTGAAAACAAGGAACGCTGTGTACTTTCACCATTGTACAGATATTTGGATCTTTTGGGAGCCGTGGCTGTGGATGGCATTCCCGTGGAGACGACGTTGCCCACCCCGAGGGCATTACATGAGGTTCCAGGTGAGAGACTGTTAGAGTCTCGGCGTGTCTTGCTTGTTGCTCTTTCAGCCTCTTCCTTTGAGCATACAATGGGTTGGATGGCTCCTTTTGAGTATGAAGGCACTACCATAGCCATGACGCTTTTTGTGAATGGGGCGGTAGTGAAGACTCCGTGTAACTCTTCGTTACCTTCAGGAAAGGAAGCTGTAGCTGTAAAAACCGCAACAGTAGCTGACATAACAACACACGTGTTACACAAGGATCTCTTTTCTCTTGCAGTTGGTTTTACTGGGTACATTGAGGATATATCGCTCTGGAAGGGTGTGATTGCCGCTGTGTATGTGGATCTTATTGATATGGATACACTGGAGGACAGGATTGTATCCAATTATAAGGTACCACCTCGCCGTAAGAGCCGCGACGACGTCGTTGGAGTGCAGGTGAAGATAACGTGTCCCATCACGGCACTGCCGTTAAACACTCCCGTGCGAGGGTTTTTATGCGAGCACATGCAGTGTATGGAACTACGCTCTCTCCTCATGCACTGCGCGCGTACGAATGTGTGGAATTGTCCACTGTGCTGGGCGCCGACAACACCAGAGACAACTCTAGTTAACTACAGATTAAAGGAGTGGTTGGAAACACACCAAACACAGTTGGACAAAGTGGATTTTATTATCGAGACACCAACGGGCGTGCCTCTTCGTCCGGTATGGAAGCGAAAAACTGCCAGAAATGGTGCTGACGTCATTGCTCTTGAATAAGTGCGGTATAACGTTTGGTTTTTGTATTCCCTCCTGCAAAAAAAAACAAAAACGAGTAAAATGGAGATGCTTTTATCTACTTCATCCTCTTTTCTTGATGTTCTCGTTGCTGATGTTTCCTTTTTCCTCTGTTTCTTTTTTTTTGCTTTGGGCTGCTGCGCAACGAAGTCTTTTGGTTGTGACTTTCCTCTTGACAGCCGGGCGTTTATACATCGGTGTATTACAGCAGTCTTTCTGTGTTTGTGTTTTTTTTTCTTTTCATCGGTTGAACCATTTCCTACTTTTTCTCCTCTCCCACTTTTTAAATCTATTTCTTTGTCTTTCTGTGTATGCTTCTGTTTCTTCAGCGTGTAGTTCATGTGCCTGAGGGGCGATGGATGACCTCATCCGTTCCGAGACGGAGTGCAGGAATCACATCGTCGTGGTTGAAAATAGCACGGCTCAGGCTCAGCTATTTTACTTTCTTCGGCTAACAGGGGATCTCATTGGGGAGGTAAAACGGAGCCACTACATCAACATATTGCACGCCGTGTTGAAAAGCCTCCCAACCCTGTGTTTGTATGCACGTTTCCTTGAACGCAAAGAGGCAATGTTGGCGGAATCTGCTGGTGCGCTGCGCAGCAAGCGGGATATAGAGAGCTTGACGAATAGCATTGCGGACTTACTACCGACGCAGTGGGTGGCTCATTCTGGAGAGAAGGCAAACCTGCCACCGAATCTGAGGAAGGCATGCGATACATTTCATCAGGAGCATGCCTTGTTTCGTGTCCAGCTGCTTGCTACGCTTGGCTTGAAGCTTGCTCGAGTACAGAAGGAGTTAGTTTTTGCGGTCCATGCTGAGAGAATTAGAAACTGTGCGCACCTATTTGCCCTCTTTCCCCCTCGCACCCCTATACAAGAGCGAGGTGGGACTCCGGAGCAGAATTATGGACTGGTCGTTAGCGATGGTTGTTTGGTGCCGCATGGCGGGTAGGGGGTGAAGGGGCGCTTTTATCAGGTGCGCGTCATTCAGTCTCGGCTCCCTGCCTTTCCTCGCGTAGGTGCCGGCGATGTTGTCCTTTATATTAATGGCCGTTCAGTGGCTACGCTCGAGGGCGCCCGGTCGGAGTTGCGCGAACACCCCGAGACCCTACAACTTCTTGTTTTACGCAAACAAAGAGTTGTTGTTTCAGTTATCGTCACTCTATAGTCGGATCTTTGCCGCTCCATAGTAGCGGCTTCAGTGACTGTTGACGAGTTTATCTGCGAAGTGTAGATAAACACACAATGAACCGTAAGTCCTTGCAAACGTGTGATCCATGACTCCAGTGCTTCTCCTCTTAAATTATTTTGTTTTTATTTTTCTTCTAAGTTTTATTCTTCTTTGAGGTAGTAGTAGATAGCTTTCGCGTTTCTCTCTCTTCACAATCTACTGGCATCATGTCGGTTCGCGAGATTCTGTTTTCCTCCGAGCACGTAAGTGAGGGCCATCCTGACAAGCTGTGTGATCAAGTGTCAGATGCTGTGCTGGATGCCTGCCTTACAATGGATCCACTCTCCAAGGTGGCGTGTGAAACGTGCTCCAAGACGGGCATGATCATGATTTTTGGTGAGATTACCACGAATGCGGTGCTCGACTACCAGACAGTGGTCCGCGATGCGGTGAAGGAAATTGGGTTCGACGATGGCGAAAAGGGATTGGACTATCGCTCATGTAACCTTTTGGTTGCCATTGAACACCAGTCTCCCGAGATCTGTCAGGGTCTTGGTGATTTTGACGGCGAGGGACTCGGGGCGGGTGACCAGGGCATGATGTTCGGTTACGCAACTGACGAGACGGATACAATGATGCCACTCACCTACGAGTTGTCGCGTGGACTTGCTATGAAGTACAGCGAACTGCGCCGCGATGGGACTCTGCCATGGGCTCGCCCAGACGCGAAGACGCAGGTCACCGTACAATATGAATACGACACGCGTGGCGGTAAGCAACTTCTGACCCCAAAGCGTGTAGCTGTTGTTCTTATTTCTGCCCAACACGATGCTGATGTGACAAATGAGACGCTCCGCAAGGACCTTATGGAGAAGGTGATCAAAACCGTGATCCCCGCCAAGATGCTTGACGCCGATACAAAGTACCACCTTAATCCTTCCGGTAGTTTTGTGATTGGCGGTCCCCACGGTGATGCTGGTCTCACCGGCCGCAAAATCATTGTTGACACCTATGGTGGTTGGGGTGCTCACGGCGGTGGCGCCTTTTCCGGAAAGGACCCCTCAAAGGTTGACCGCTCGGCTGCCTATGCTGCCCGCTGGATCGCCAAGTCGCTTGTCACAGCAGGCCTTGCCCGTCGTTGTCTTGTGCAACTGGCGTACGCTATTGGTATTGCGGAGCCACTGAACATTCACATTGAGACCTACGGCACAGGCAAGTACGATGATGGACGCATTTTAGATATTGTGAAGAAGAACTTTCAGCTCCGCCCGTACGACATTATTAAGCAGCTGGATCTTCGTCGGCCCATATACCATATGACCTCTCGATTCGGTCATTTTGGCCGTGAAGACAAGAGCGGCAAAGGTGGATTTACGTGGGAGATTCCTAAGAAGCTTGACGAGTCATGCTAAGGAATGGTGGGAAGAAAAAGAAAAAAAAAAGATGGTAACATCTTGCAATGGGTAACAATGCAGTTATATATCTTTTTCTTTTAATTATTTGTGACAGTACCTGTCATTTACTGTTTCTTTTTCTGTGCTATCTTCTCTGGGATGAGTTCCCCTAGCTTTTCCTTTGGCCTTTGTGGGTGTTGCATGGTAACAGGCATTCCTCACTAGGTTAACCTAAGCCATTTAATAATAAAAATAATAATGGAGTCCCGTGCTATTTGGGATAATAATGCGGACTATGTGTGAGATGCGTGAATTTGATTTTCATTCAGTTGGTCTTTTATTGGGAGTTTGCTTGATTTCGCTTGTGCGGGTGGGGGTTTGCTGCGCGGTCTCGTGCACTTCCTTTTCGTTTCTTTTCTTTTTTTTCTTGTCGCTTTGTGTGCGTGTGTGTGTGTGTGCGTGTGTGCGTGTGTGTATCGTGGTGACATTGGCATTGGAAGGGGGAGTTGTTTGGGCAGTAGTGGGTACCAATATGCTTTCTTCGTGTATTAGACGGCAAGCGGATCGTCGTACTCGCCATCATATGATGGTTGAGGGCCAGATCAATCCGCGTGAGTGGATGAACTGGCATCCGAAGGAGTATCAGCCATGGTACTTTGATCGCCATAAGTTCCTTTATGAGCGGCAGCAGTATGCACATTTCCATCACCTGCTGTGTCACCAGGTCTTTCTTAAAGACATGCTTCAGTTGGTGCAGCAACCAGAGCCGTATACGTACATTATCGATTGTAGGACTTCCCCGCTAAAGATGCATCGTTGGGTGCCTCATAGCTGGTGGTTGCCGAGGGATGAGGTGGAGTACGCGCTTCAACTTACCCCGGACGAGTTTGCTGACATGTATGGGTTTCACAAACCACGCAAGTCTGATGACGTTATCCTGGTCTCCCACAACGGCCTTTACTCTGAACAGGCAGGCTGGGAGTGGAGGAAGCAATTTTACCAGCACGTTTACAATTACCGTGGCGGAACAAATGAACTCTTTGGAGAACACTACAACGACATCGCGTTAAAGGATACTCTTCCACCCTGGAAGGGGCCGTTCCCACAGAGTGGCATCTTTGTAGATAAGTGGAGTAAGCGAAAGGTCTTGACCCGAACAGGACCATTTGACCGCCAGTACGAGATGCAGGATTTTGCGCTTCCAGATTTGGAGCTGGAGAAACCACGGCACCCAGAGGAGGGCCCCCGGCAGAACATGCCGTACGGTCTTCAGTAAATTGGATGATTGGGTGTTTGAGTCGTGGTTTTATTTTTTTCACCCTTGTTTTAACAAAAAGAAAAAAAAAGACGCGCTTTTCGGTGGCCACTCTTAATGTATGCTCTATTGGGTCCTGTTTCCGCTTTTTGTCGTAGGTGATGATGACGAGGTTCTGGATGGCAGGCGGCAATGCACTGAGTCGGTTGCTGCCGGCCTTGCATCTGCGGATGTGCAGCTCCACAGGGGGTGTGGGCTCCCGCAAAGAGTCCCCAGTAGGTTCTGCGTATGACGTTGAACAAAAATTTGAACAACGCGAGAGTCGCAGACGATACTCCGCTGCGAACACATCAGGGCGGTCAAAGTATATCAGAGACATCATTGCCTCTCTAAAGTCTCAACCCAAGGCGGAGATGGCTGCGATATTTGACAAGTTACACCCTCGAGATAAACTTGACATATTACGCATGCTTGGCCGGCGCTCTGCACGACGCGCTGCGGGCCTGCCCACATACCGCAGTCATATCTTTGAGAGACGTTACTTCTTTAGGGAGGAAGATCTATGCGAGCAAAGCACGCTTGGTCGTGGTCCCGGCGGTCAGGCAACGAACCGAAGAATGCAGACGGCTATAGTAAAGCATAAGCCAACAGGGATCGTCGTAAAGTTTAGCAAGTTTCCTTCCTACTGGCTCAATCGGAGAGCCGCGCGGGAGATCCTGAATTTTCGCCTTGAGGAGCACCTTTTAGGTCCAAGGTCGAGAATAGTTCGCAGTAAACAACGGGAGGAGGCACGACGCTTGCGCCATGTTCAAGCAAGGGAGAGAATGGTGGAAAGGGGTAGAATTAGTTCGGCTAAGATGTCGCAGCAGCGTGGGTTTCATGCAGTTCTTACAAATGTGCAGCCTTTTCCTTTCGCTGTGCTGCTGCAACTTGGACCCGGTTATATGGATCATACCCTCTTTATATCAGACCTTTTTGAGGGCGAATGCAATCGATGGTGGCCTTTGCTTGCAACGGCATTTGCCCATTTAAATAAAGGTGTCTCTCAAAACGGGAGTGACATTAACGAGGATAGTACTGAGATGGAAAACTTAAAGGTACCGGAATTGTTCCGTTACTTGTTTCCGGTTGTCCCCTTTTCCTCACTGCCACCAACATCGGTTGAAAAATACGAGTGGAGTGAGGTTGAAAAGTGTGCTGCTGACGAGGTCGCCTTGCAGAATGTGTTGCGTGCGCTTCGTTGCTTTGTTGAACTTTTTGGTCTGCACTTGCTGGAGGGACCGTTGCACGACGGCGGCGGTCACAGTACCCTTGTTCTTATTAAGGATGGTCTAAATTGGGTCGAGTTCAAAGGACGTATGGTGGCGTCCAATGATCGGATGACTCCTCTCGCCCTCACCTGCTTTTCACATGTGGTGCTGAGCCTTACACAACTGCGGCGTGCAGGGGAGGCGAATGCCATTGTGGCATTCTTTTTACACGAGGCAAAAGCTGGTGTGAGGTGCCAGTGGGCAGCACATGGCTGGAATAAAATGCGTCATGTGAGAAGGCGTTATGAGTTGCTTCAACAGCAGAAGAGTGGCCAAGCCGGAGTTTGTTGAAATTGTGGTCTACTTTGAAGTTTTCGTCTAACACCTCTCCTTTCTTCCTTCCTATTTTTCTTTTCTGTTTCTATCCTTTAATTACTTTTCCTCTTTACGATGGGACTTGTTGTACACATTCTCAAACCATTTTTATTTTTATTTGGTTTGCTTTAGTTTTTGCTTCGTTTTGTAGTTCACTCGACACGCCTTCAAACACTATATCCAATTGCATTTGCCAGTGCCGCAATGGCCGTGTTTAACACTGTGCTGGGGGTACATATGCCGCATCTCGTTGAGGTTGCCCTTCTTGTGTTTATGGTGTACGGCCTGGCGTGCCTTGTGACGATGCTCTACTTTGCCACTAAACACAAATTCTCTGCACCAGGCCCGATGTTTGTGACACCACTTCTCGGTGGGTTGGGCATGATGATAAGGGACCCCTTCACATTTTGGGAGAAGCAGCGCTTCTACAGCCCGAATGGGTACAGCTGGCAAGCAATTCTGACTCAGTTTGTCCTTTTTGTCACTAACGCTGACTTGTGCCATAAAATATTCGCCACCAACAGTGAAGGTACGCTGTCTCTTCAGCTGCACCCTAACGGGAGGGTTATTCTTGGAGACAACAACATAGCCTTCCAAAGCGGCCCACAACACAAGGCCCTTCGTGCCAGCTTCATGAACCTTTTCACGACAAAAGCGCTTTCTTTGTATTTACCCATTCAGGAACGCCTTATTCGCGAGCATTTGGCAGAGTGGGTGAGGAAATACCCCTTTGGAGGCAAACCTGAGGAGATGCGAAACCACATACGTGAAATGAACTGCAAAACTTCCCAAACAATCTTTCTTGGCGAGCATCTTCACAATTGTGAGGAGTTTACTCGTAACTACAATGTTATAACGGTTGGATTTCTTTCTCTCCCCATCTACTTTCCTGGAACAGCCCTGTACAAGGCGGTTCATGCGCGGAAAAAGGTGGTGGATGAGCTAACAGCGGCTGTCGGTCGGAGCAAGGCTCACATGTCCCTTCCCGATGCGGAGGCCCACTGTTTGCTTGATTTTTGGTCTGCGACGATACTGGAGATCATGAAGGCTTCTGCGGATGGGGGTGAGGATCCACCGCCGTTTACGTCTGACCACGCAATGGCGGATACAATGTTGGATTTTTTGTTTGCCTCACAGGATGCATCCACCGCAAGTCTCACTATGATCACCGCCACAATGGCTGATCGGCCCGATATTTTGGAACGAGTTCGTCAGGAGCAAGAAAGGTTGCGTGTGGGGGACGAGCCTTTAACGAATGATGTGGTACAAGAAATGGCTTTTACCAGGCAATGTGTTTTGGAGCAGCTCCGTCTATTTCCTCCTGCACCAATGGTGCCCATGAAGGCCCATTCCGATTTTGTCATTGACGATCATTACACGGTGCCCAAAGGCAGCCTGGTTATTCCATCCCTTGTGGGGGCTTGCCGTGGAGGGTTTACAAACCCCAACCAATACGATCCAGATCGCATGGGACCTGAACGCCAAGAGGATCGAAAATTCTCCAAACACTTCATTCCTTTTGGTGTTGGCCCACATCGGTGCGTTGGCTACAATTACGCCATTAATCACATTACGATTTATTTGGCAACCATTGCCCAACTGGCTGAGTGGAAGCGAACACGCACCCCGAGATCAGACGAGGTGCTTTACCTGCCTACCCTCTACCCACGTGACTGCCTCTGCACCTGGAGGTACCGTGAGAGCATGGGGACAAAAGAACAAGGTGTGTAGACCTCCTTTTTTTTTTTACTTAGGGGTGTAAGTTTTTTTTTTTTTTTTTGCTAGTTGTTTAAATTTCAATCCATCAGTATTTGTGTATTGTATTGTGAGTTGTATATGAACTGAATTTGAGGGGCCAATACATCTCTGAATGTGAAATTGTGGGGGGGGGGTGGTGGTGGTGGTGCAACACAACAACAAGAACAATAGCACGCACGAAAGAAAAAATGTAGTGGGTTGTGGCAGCAGTTTTGAGCGTCGTCCTTCTCGCTGGCATGGTTATGTGTGAGTACGTATGGAAATATGTAGGGATGCGCATCTTTGTTTGTGTGACATCCAGAAGGGGTGTTCATGAAGTAGACACGTGCGCTAAGGTGTGGTCAGGTGAGGCAAGGTAGATGCCAAGTTTTTTTTTTTTATAAAAAATAATATTTTCTTGGGCTTGATTCTTCCTGTATTGATTAACGTTGTTTTTTGTTTTTTAAGGAATCCGCGTTGAAGGAGAGTGAAAGGAGCTCATCATTTATTTTGTGTCATCCCAACTCAGTCTCCTCCCATTACTACTGATGCACTTAATGCGGGAGGTGCCTTTGACTGTTGTGGGCCTTATTTAAAGAGTTACACATTGTCAGTTGACGACGAGACTCCGGTTGTCACAAATTGTCTTTTTTGAATTTGTTTTATTGGCTCATAAGAGGCGGAGCTCATGTGAGGCTGTGGAGGACTTGGACTTATTGAACTACACTGTGCGGCCTCTCTCTCTTGCGCCCTCCAACTTAGTTGGAACAGGGGGTAACTTCTCATTCTGGCGAATAAGTTGGTTTTTTGTCGTTGCTGTTGTTGAGGGACTTGGGGAAACACACACGAAAGAGAAAGTAAAAGTAAAACAAAATAAAACAAGACAAAAAAAAAGAGACACGTCTGGAGTGGAGGAGGGCATGCGCTGGATTGAAGTAATAAAAGCAGAAACAAATAAAACAAAGGAAAACTATGTACGTAATACAAAAAAAAATGTGGGAAACGGGCGGGGGTTCATGGTGTACGTTTGTGTTTAATATTGGCCGTGTTGGGAATTTCAATTTTAGGACGCCCATTCAAGCCTGTGTTTACATGCTGCATGCGGACACACTATGGAAGCTTGACTCGTTTCTCTTGTTATGGCTTTTGCATTTCGGATGTTTTTTATTTGTTCTCTACTTCAACTCCTTTTTATTTTATTTTATTGCTGCGCTTGCTCCGATACGTATGCTTCGGTGTCGCTTAGTTTGGTTGTGCACTAGGAACCAATGAGGACCGAGATGCAGGCTGAGGAGGCGGTGATGCTGGTGCCTGAAGAGACGATGGAGTCGCACTTGTACCACATTCGCTACTTTGCCGGACACACGGGGCGCTACGGTAACGAATTTTTGGAATTTGACATCCGCGACGATGGAACGCTGAAGTACGGCAACAACAGTCGCTACCGGAATGAGAACATTATCAAGAAGCAGGCCCGTGTGTCTCCTGCGGTGTTAGAGGAGATCAAGCGGATCATCATCACCTCAGCAGTTCTTGAGAGCGACGACGAGAGGTGGCCACAGCCTGACAGGAACGGGCGACAGGAGCTGGAGATTCACTTGGGGAACACACACATCTCCTTGGTGACGAACAAAATTACTTCGATAAGTGAGGTGGAGAAGGCTGACGACTCAAAGGGGCTTGAGACGTTCTATTACTTTGTGCGTGACATCAAGTCGTTGGTGTTGGCCCTTGTGTCACTCCATTTTAAGATAAAGGCTTGCTAACTTGTGACACTGTGAGCGCGGGCACGTAAATCACGGGAATCGCTCTTTTGAGGGCGGAGGCAGAGGGAAAATTGCAGTCTTCGTGTGATGTTTTTGTTTCTTGATCTCGTTATTCAAGTGTACCCTCACACTTGACCGCCTTCTCCTCCTCCTCCTCCTTTTCGCCTCGTTTCCTTTTAGATGTTGCCGTCTACTTAGTTGTTGTTGTTTTTTGTTTATTGTCGATTCTCTTCACTTTCGTGTGCAGACGACATTTTTATTTATAATTTTTATATTTATTTTTTATGCTTATTATTATTATTATTATTATTATTTTTGTAATTTGCGCCTGTGGGTCTAATCCCTGTCTTTCTGGTCGCTTTCCTATTTATTAGTTTGCAGTGGAATGTCATTTTCTGTTCGAGCCGTCAATTCCCCATCGTCACAGAGAAGTTCGGCTTCTCAGGCGTACGTGTCGCCGAAGATGCCTCCGCAAACAGTCATGCGCCTAAATATGCCATCGTTTTCTCTTTCTACCGCGGAGGACACGCTGAACAACGGCAATCTTAGCTTTATTACGAAGAAGATTGGAACCAATCCGACGCGGTACAAGACAGTGATATGCCGTAACTGGGAGGCAGGGAGCTGCAACTTCAAGGGATGCACGTTCGCCCACGGTGTTGAGGAACTTCGTGCCCCAATGCGTGTTGAATGCTACGGAAGTTCCAATCTGCATCCACATGCCACTGCACAGGGAAAGACACCACCCCAGTATTCTACGGCGTTGCCGGGGTCTCTGGGTTCGCCACGGATTGAACAATTATTGGAGATGTTATACGCGGAGGTGATCCGTGACCGAGACCTTGTGACGGTACATGTGGAGGCCAATCGCACTCTTGAGTCACTGCTAAGGAAGGAACAAGCACTCCATGACGAGACGCGGGCTCAATTAGAAGCTGAGAGAACAAAAGCTAATGAGCTTATGCGAATGGTACTGCAAACTAGCGAAGAACTAAAAATGTTTCTCGACTCTCGTACAACTACCGAAAAACAGCGTGATCGCATTGCGGTACTATTGAATAAACTGATATTTATTGTTCCTCAGTGCGATAATGCTAGGAATAAAGAGAAAGAAGAGAATAGAGTGGAAGAACTGCTTAGGGCACTGCAACAATGCCAGAAATCCGCAGACGCCTAGGGAATTATTGCCCTCCGGTATCCCTGTGATTGGGTATAATAATAGGCTGGTTGTGTGCTTTTGTTTAGTTTAGTTGCTGCTGTTTTTTTCCATTTCTCTTTGCTTTGGATTTGTTTCTGTGCCACTCATTCTGTAACGAGGGAGAGTGACTGAACCGTTGACAGCTACCTTGTACACCAATACATAACTTGCATGTCCGCGCCTGCACATGAGGAATAACAAACATATTGATTAACTCATGCATGTTTCTTTTTGAAATGTTATATATATATGTATATATATATATATATATATATATATTTGTATTTGTGCGTGTGTGTGTGTGTGCGATAGCGATGATCATGTTTACTTCCATTCTAATTTTCTGGCGGACGCAGGTGAAGTGAGGGGAATGCCGAAGTCCACTAAAAAAAACAAAGGAGGGCATACCAAAAAAAATGGAAAGTTTGACCCTCACAAACGGAATGCGAAACACATAGATCCTTCTGCCACCAATGAAGTGGAGGCATCCATCAATCCTGTGGCAGAGGTGGTGGAAGCCCTGGAGGAGTCCGTGGAGCAGCAGCCCTTTCCCAAAACGCAAGGGAAAAAATCGAATAAATCCCAGACCCAAAATATTGGAGGCGTTACACTTAAACCTGGCATGACTGTGGCGCAGGCACACAAGATAGCAAATAAGGTTCATAAGCAGCAGCCGTTAAAAAATATACCTGATCGCTCCTTTGAGGAGGAAGAGGAAGGATACGAGGAGGAGGAGGATGACCACGGTGACAGCGCTGAAGACTACAGTGATACAGCCAATGAACGTTCAACAGACTACCGTAAAGGAGGCTACCATCCCGTGGTGGTCGGTGAGGTGTATCATGATCAATATCGGGTAGTCAAAAAGCTTGGTTGGGGATATTTTTCTACGGTGTGGCTTGTGTGGGACTACGTCACAAAGCGGTATCAGGCTTTGAAGGTGCAAAAATCGGCCAAACACTACACTGAAGCCGCATACGACGAGATTAAACTATTGGGAGAAATTATGTCTTCAGATCCGGATAAGACTCGGTGTTGTGCTCGGTTAAATGACTACTTTGAACACACTGGCCCCAATGGAGTTCATGTGTGCATGATATTTGACGTTTACGGTGAGGATCTGCTTTCTCTTATTAGTAGATATGAGTATCGTGGTGTCCCCTTGCCCATCGTCAAGTGTATTTCTCGACAACTGCTCGTGGGGTTGGAACATTTACACTCCTTGAAGATTATTCACACTGACTTGAAACCGGAAAATGTACTGCTTTCCTCCCCAAAACATGCGATAATATCCTTTATGAAACGTTATCACCCCCCACCATTAACTCAGCGTCTGCGTCTGGTTGAGCGTGATCCAAAGACGATGACAAAATCGCAGCGCCGACGATACTACAAAAAAATTAAGACGATTGAACAAAATGACAACGCAAAGGAAAACGTTCCTGTGGAGGAACATCACCATGAGAATGCGAGACTGCCGAGTAATTCCACGGAGCAAAGCCCAGAAGAGCGTGCAGAAGTGCTTTCAGCAAGTGATACCGACTCTGACTGGGAGATTGAACGCCTGCACCACGTTGTTTTGGCCGACTTTGGTAATAGCTGTTGGACGTACCGGCAGTTCACAGATGAGGTGCAAACACGCCAGTACCGTTGTCCAGAGGTGATTCTTGGGGAACCATATTCTACTCCAATAGATTTGTGGTCAGCCGCGTGCCTTATTTTTGAGCTGATCACAGGTGAGTTTCTTTTTGATCCACGAAAGGGAGATAATTATTCACGGGACGAGGATCATTTGGCCCTAATGACTGAGCTTCTGGGTGAACTACCAGAGAGCATGCGTCTAGGAGACGGCAAGTATCGGTCTCAGTTTTACAACTCACGTGGCGCACTGCGTAACATTAAGGATCTCAATTTTTGGTACCTGGATGATGTCCTCCACCGCAAGCACAAGTTTACTCAAAAAAAGGCAGGAGAAATTGCGGAGTTTCTTCTCCCAATGCTCGAGTTTGATCCGCAGGAGAGAGCAACTGCGACGGAAATGCTTGCGAACTTCGAACACTTTTTCGAAATTAAGGAGGATGACTATGCACCATTTTGTTTTGTCCCTTCAGACGCCGAGCGTGAACCTGTTGAGGGAAACACAAGTGATGGGGAGGAGTCAGAAACTTCCGGTGACTTCAACGATGCGGACGATGAGGATGACGATACTTCCTTTGAGGAGGCAGAAGAAAATAAGGGTGAAGACAACGAGATGGACCTTGCCCAATTTTGGACTGAACATCCACTTCTTGCAAAGGAGTTCTTGGAGAAGCGTGGGCTTGCTTGGCTAGACATTCATGCTGTGCTTGAGGGGAAGAGGCTTGGGGATCCGGCACTGCACGAGTCTGCAGTCGAGGTTATTCGTCTTCTTTCAGATGAAGCAGATGACAATAGAGGCGATCAACAACAGGGCACAGAGGATGATACAACCTCCTGCACGGAGGAGCTCAGAGGTGGTATCAGTGGACCAGGCAACCATTGAGGTGGTGGCTACATGCTTCGCTCCCACTGTTGTCACTGGGCCCAATGATGAGAGTAAAGCGAGGAAGGAGAAATCACCTCGAAAGAACAGAGGAGAGGGGGAGAAAAAGGTGTTGAACGAGAAGAATCGTAGATGTGGACCAGAAGAAAGGAGGATAAAAAAAAGGGGGTGGGAAGAGAGCGTCAATCAACCAACCAACCAACCAGCCAAACAAACAAACAAAACAAAAACAAGAAGAGCAAGATGGAAGTTGTTGTTTCTTTTTTCTTCTTAGTGGTGCAACCTTCTTCCTCTCAATGTGTTTTGTTGTGTTTGTGTTTCAGGTTAATAAAAGAAGGTGATAAGAGCTGGCATAAACATATCTATAGATGTTGATATGTTTGTGTGTGTAGTTGGCTCGCGCTTCTTCAAATCCAATCTGCCAGTCTTTTTGTTATTATTATTGCCATGATCGTTGGTGGTGCGGATTGTCTTTTGTGCGCATTTGTGTTGTTGTTTTTTTCTTTTTTTTACTCGTGTTGTTGTTGGTTGTTTTGCCTGGCGCACGGATTTTTCCGTTTTTTTTTTGTTTGTTTTTGTTTGTTTGTTTTTGATGTTTTACACCGTAGCGTTTTATAGGTATGTCGAAGAAGCAGGAAGCGAAGTTCTACGGCTCCAGCGCCGCAAAGGACGAGCTGGTGTACGGCGTTGTGCACGTCTATGCGTCCTTCAACGACACATTTGTTCATGTGACGGATATGTCGGGTCGCGAAACCTTCTGTAAGGTTACCGGTGGTATGAAGGTGAAGGCGGATCGTGACGAGAGCTCTCCCTACGCTGCCATGATGGCCGCTCAAGACGTTGTAGCGCGCTGCAAGGAGTGCGGCATTAACGCGTTGCACGTTAAGATGCGCGCCA